TATTGCTGGAATATTGCTAAAAGCGCGTAACCATAGTCAGTCAGTCCTGTCAGAGCGATATTTAATCTCCTGTCACCAAAGTCTTGACCAGCAGCCATTACTGAGTGTTGTCTACCGTTGATGCAGCAGCCACAAACTCCTCACAGTGACAGCCCATTAATGTCCTCTGATACCGAGATAGTGTAATATGTGTCATGCGCTGTGAAGGAGCTTGCATCCATTAGACTTCAAGCGATCATCGACAAAACCTTGTCTCGTGAAACAGTTAGTCTCGCGTTACATCCCGAGACTTGTCAGTCTCTTGAGATGACATTTACTTAATGATACGTATGTCGACAGATACTCTTGTCCCGTCTAATCATTGATATAGGGTCCGAGACAGAGACAGGGCGCACAGGGTAATTACATATTAAGCGCGATAACTTATATCGGATTATTTGGGCAGTGTGACAGCCCTAATATTAAGTAAATATTGGACACAGTTCGGACACTGTATCGGTGTTTATGATGTTTATTGTATATCTTGTTATCTTCACTATAACTCGTGATGTTGGCAATATCTGAATTGACCAGATCCTGTCTGTTTTAAAATTTTCTGTCTCGACTTGTTTCTCACGGAGACGCCCCCTAAATATATATTTACAGGCTGCCGTCATTATCATAGATCAACGCTGTCAGGAAACGCACTCACTCACTCACTCAGGATGCGATGACACTTAATCAAGTCGCCAAGACTGACCACCCGATCCACTCGCCTCCCGCCTTTCAACCTTAAGGTGACGTGACAGCATTGTACGTTATTAACAAATATATTTATACTGAATAGAGCAAAGGACAGCACAATAAATAGATTATCACATATTATATTAAAAACTACTTTCACTGCATGATTACGTTAGCAGGTTTAGTTGAGAGAAACAAGGTCAAGGTCAAGAACAATGTCAATACCCAACAGTTAAGAAGACCTCTAATTGTACAAATTACGTTCTAATAACCCACAGATTACATTCACAATGATTCCAGCCAAAATAAATCGGTTTAGAATATTAATTGACTATTTGCTGATGTGGTTCAAATAGCTCAACGCTCTCTGACGTATAGAACGTTTAATCAGGCCTCGTGTTGCCTGGCAACGCTGGGCGAGTAGCGGTCTCCGAATACCGGGCTTCAGCGCCATGCCCGTGCCCAGGTCAGGGAGTTCATGGAGGAATCAAGGTCAAGGACCTGCATATCAACAGAACAAACAGTGAAAGATAACGGACGCAATATGATTATATTCACGCGTGTACATATCTGAGTATCATGTATGACAGATACGCTACATGTGAATTATCTGTTCCTCGAGTGAGTGAGTGAATGCTACCTTATGCCACACTAAAATATATCACATTTACACAGCCAAAGAATGTTGGATTGTTTATTGGCACAGTCAGCAATGCCCCAGCTATCTGACGGCGGTCTGTACATAATCGAGTCTGGACCAGACAATCCAGTGACTGACATCATGAGCATCGATTCAGACAAGCCTGACCACTCATGCATTGAGTTGCCTTTTACGACAAGCACGGGATGTTGAATACTAGTTCTCAACCGGGTTCTCACGGGTCGTGATAGATAAGAGGTAGATGGCATAATTGCATTGGCAACTTTCAGGAAGTGGAGTAAGTCGTTGGATCTCCTGATTTGCTTCCATGATAATCCTTGGCCTGGCAGCAGTGTTCAGATCCGGTTATGGGGTTTCATCATTATTTACACATGTCTCTTTCGCATATGACTTTGATTGTGCTTTGAATACTCTCCTTCAGATATATAGTAGAGTCGAGTCTTAGACGTCCATTGCTTTAGTGAAACTGGCCAATCACGTGACATGAAGTAACCTTGAGAAATATTATTATTGTTAAAAAATATGTTTAAAATTTAAATGTAGCAAAGAGGGTTCTGGGGATCCAGGCAGGCAGGCAGTCTGGTTAGCCTCATCACCAGCTCTGGTCCCTTGCCCCCTCTACACGCAGCCCAGACAGCGAATAGGACTTCTCCCAGGAAGCGCTTCCTTGTCGAGCCCACCAAGAACATTCCTCAGGATGTGAAGACCCAGGGTGTCAGAAGTGCTGTGTTATTGACACAATTTTAATTTCAGTCAAGAGATCGGGAAGTACCAAACCTAAGGCACTGAGGAAAATGGGGAGTCGGACAACCTGGTACTTGGGGTGAAAGCGTGATGGCCTCTTCATATTCTGGGTCGAACAATGGATGGACCTCTGAGTCAAAACCACAAGCATGGCGAAAACAGCAATGACGGTTCGGAACGATCCACGGCATCATGTCGCTGAAGATGGCTGTGCCATCCGTTGACATGGCGTTGGACATTTCATATTTACATTGTGAGACGCAAAATCACAGTATTATTATTATCATAAGTATTATCATCACAATGCATACACCCACCGAACATCTTGCTGCTTTACTTATTAATTTTCAATTCTAATATTAATAGCAAATACGTTTGAACATCAATATCCATGATACGTCGTTGAGAAACAAAATCATCGCTATTATATTTCTCAGAGGATTGCGGAAAGCCGGCATGACATCTTAAAAATTGGTGATCCTTGACTTCTGTCGAGTAGTATATGTCGATAAAAAAGTCTGTCTTGCGGTTTGCCACACTTGTAAGGGAGTGGGCGGTGGGGTAGTCTAGTGGTTAAAGCGTTGGCTCGTCACGCCGAAGACCCGGGTTCGAATCCCCACATGGAAACAATGAGTGAAGCCTATTTCTGGTGTTCCCCGCCGTGATATTGCTGGAATATTGCTGAAAGCGGCGTAAAACCAAACTCAGTCAGTCAGTCCTTGTAAGGGAGACGTAACAGTGTATCTGGGTGAAGAAGCTACGGATCTCTATGCTGTTTAAGACTGGTAAACTTTAGTACAGGCCAGAATTGGTGGTTATTAATCTTTTAAGTTGTGTATTATTATTTCCATTGGAGGAAAATAAGAAATCTGGTTGCTGCTCTTTCCAACAAAATCATATTTGTATTAATTGAAATTTTGTGTCTTTTGCCTCATATCTACTGGTGCACGACCGGTTTGACGAAAGTGACAACCATATTATTTATTTGGTGTGGCTTCCTGGCTAGACGTTATAAGTCAGAGGTTACAAAAACATTGTTTTTTGCAAATTTGGGAATTTCGACTTGCACTTTTGTCATGTCTTGATCTTAAGTTTGCTAGGAGACTGTACAATGTTGTCTTTATCAGTTGTCACTAAAGAGCCACTGATGTGCCCGCGGGTGGGTTTCACGTGTTAAATGCACTCTGATGTTTGTTGAAGGTTGAAAGTTTGTGTGATGACGTAACAGATGGCGGCCTGATCATTGGCAAATCGTCATGACTTGTATGAATAATACTTAACGCCGTCTTTAGGGCTATTCCTGCACTTTATAGTGGAGAATAGAAGATTATTCTTGACATATTTTAACCAGGTGGAAAATAGAACTTGACATCAATGACAGGGGAACGCTTACGTAACTTACGTAATATGCCGTTTTAGAATATTTGTTTTTTTTGCAAAAGGACATCGCTGGATGACATGGATGCGTTCATGTGGAAAATCGAATCCGGGTCTTCGGCAGGACAAGCGACTACGGCTGCAACTACTGCAACCTCACAATCCAGTAACGACCGCATAGTCTGACATACGATTGAGTGAGTGAGTTTAGTTTTACGCCGCATTCAGCAACATTCCAGCTATATGGCGGCGGTCTGTAAATAATCGAGTCTGGACCAGACAATCCAGTGATCAACAGCATGAGCATCGATCTGCGCAATTGGGAACCGATGACATGTGTCAACCAAGTCAGCGAGCCTGACCACCCGATCCCGTTAGTCGCCTCTTACGACAAGCATAGTCGCCTTTTGTGGCAAAGCATGGGTTGCTGAAGACCTATTCTACCCCGGATCTTCACGGGTCACATACGATAAGGAGGACCGCAATCTATTCGCGTTCATGGGGATATAAACGTGGAAATCGACGCGAACCTAGAATCTGTATTGTCAGCGTTAAGTAAAACATCTGTGTTATTAACTACGTAGCTGATAACAGGATTTTTCGGGCACATCGGATTTTTATTTATCCTCAATAAATGCCAAACTATATTAACGTCGAATATAACAAATAGGCAAAGAATAATAACTTTAAATGGTGTTTTAAGATCTACCCCGAAAACGTGTTGACAGATACGAAATTAGTTATATAGACAGAAGCGTTAGCAAAATGCGCCTTTGTCCGAATCTTGCTTGTGATTTAACCCTTGAAATCACCAATAGGCCCATGTTCTTCTCGTGATCGAGTCAATCTAGTGATTGACATTATGAACATAGATTTATGCAATATGATACGAGGATGTGCATGGACCAAGCAGGAGACTGATCGCCACAACCCGTTAGTCGCCTCTTACGACAAGCATGGTTTTCCAGATCTTAAGGGGAAAAGGTTGATGGCAGAGTATTCCGTGGAGAAACCGTTATTGACAACAAAACGTTTATTTGCGTATCAGCAAATCCTCCACTCGGTTAATCCTTAGTCTAATACGTTTTCTCGATCAACATTACAATCAAAAGTTAAAGTTGGAATATCTAGTTTCACTCGTTCGTGTGACTACAACATTGGTGGTGGTGGTGGTTGTGGCCCTGGATGTTCCTCCATCGAAATTCATATCTAATTAATGCCCATCATAAACATGTTTATTTTCGTGTGACCGACGAATACCAACTCACAATGTCTGGAAATATCCTTGATGCATTACATCAGTTACGGAATGAGCCGAGATGATCCGAGTGTACACATACATCCTGTTCTTGTTACCAATCGAGCGCAACAAAAAAGGTATCTTACATAACAGCACGATCTCGCGTGAGGTTAGTTCAACCCCTGGGCAGGTGTTGCACGTGCAGCACAAGTTAATCGCTCTCTTCGAATATCTCAGAAGTCTTCTTAACACCCTGGAGAATATGTGGCAATTTTCCTTTCTCCCGATGTAACTAAAAACAACTCGGTCGATATCAAATACCATGTTGTCAATAACAGGAGATCCTGAAGAGGTTGAAATTCCATTACTTCAAAGTAATTACGTATCTATTAATTAATTCATTGAAACAGCGAGGGGATGCAGATAACGAGAAGCGTGTCATTACCCTGGGGTCTAACGGGCAAAGGAACATGTGCTGTTTGTTGGAATTAAAGTGGAGAAAAATACAGTTTATGTAATGACATTGCGTGTTCAATGGGAAGTTCCTGGCCGAAGCTCCTCAATAAATATCCTCAAGTTACAGATCATTAACAGATGTTTTCTTCATTATCGTCCAGAACCAGGGAGCTTCTTCGTGAGCGACAGACTTCACAGTACAGAGCAGCCCGGTCGAGAGCGTGGGGATGATTTTAAGGGCGCTTACTTTAATAAGAGTTGAAATTTGAACGTCAACAAGGTGAGGGTTTTTTCATCGTTACCGCTGCGCTGGTTGAATATAATGAGCTGAAGTCATCGTTTATTATATGCTGGGTAGTCAAGAAGGACCTGGTACCTGAAGACCGTGTTCGATCCCCGACACTATGAGGTTTAAAGGCCATTACAAACGTCTCCGGCTGTCATATGTTTATAACATTGACAAAAGCGAAGATATTACATATTTAGTTTTGAATATATTCATTATTACATACCTTTCTGCAAGAGGACATGGACATATTAAATCTATGAAGGGACGAAAATGAGGATCGGGTGGTCAGGCTTAGCTGGGGACGTTGATCAGCCACTGACGAGTAAAATACAAATACACAAATCTCAGTCAAACTGCTTTCAACAATATTTCAGTTATATAACGATGCGTCAGCCTGTGTTAGGGGTTAGTCCGAATACAGATTCTAGTCGTTCAGACCAAATGAGAAGATCCTAATCCGTCTAAGGGACGCAACTACAGTAGATTGAACAACAGTAAACTTGCTCTACACGGAAAGTGGCAATGTTTATGACTGATGACATATTACATTAATTCCGCTATCTGTGTGACCTCCACGAGCAGCTGGGAGTCTCCACACACAGCTGCCTGTGATCACCAGGTGAACGGAAATACACCGACAGTTCCACAGACATATGTACAGACACTATGCAAGGTGAAATAGCGGATCTCGAACCAATGGCTTTCCGGTGACATATCTATAGGTGCAAAACCAGTGAACAAAGTGACAAACATATAGCATGACCAGAAATTATTGAGAATTTTAGGAATACGTTAAATTGGATTTCTAGTATAAACAGCCTTGACCAGCTATCAAGTGCTTGGTTTCATTCAAGAGAGACAACTCCGTTAATCCTTTTTCATTAGTTTGTGAAGAGTTATCCCCCTTTGTTTACTGGCTAGCAGTCGACATTTTCAGTGATCCTCAGTATGGATGATTTAGAGAAGCGGAAGTTGATTTTAGAGTATTACAACAAGGACATCAGATCAGCTAAAGTGATTTCAAGTAGAACAGGCATCCTTTTGTCCACTGTTTATCGTGTTTTGAAAAATATTGCAAATGGATATGGCACTGAGCACCAGGGAGGCGCAGGTAGGCCCAGAAAATTGACTGGCGGTGACAGGAGGCGGCTTGATATTCTTGTTTCTAAAAACAAACGAAGGAGTTTAGAAAACTTAAGGCTGGATATGATTGATAGACGAACTGTGGCTGTCTGTAAGGAGACAATTAGAACTGAGCTGCATGCAATGGGTTGGCAGAAAAGTCGAGGAATTCCATCACCGATCATGAAACCTGAACAAAAGGAGCGAAGGTTGAAATGGTGCTTACAGCATAGAAATTTTAACTGGGACAATGGCATTTTCTCAGATGAAAGTTCTGTGTTGCTGTTTCCTAATACACTGAAATTCTGGACCAAACAAACTGAAAAACCTTTGTATCAACGCCTAAAGTACAGTCCTAAATTTAACGTGTGGGGTGCCATATATGTGTTAGGTGCAACGCCCCTCTGTGTATTTGAAGGTAATATGAACAGTGAGCGGTACACAGATATTCTCGAGGGACATTTACTTCCATCTGCTCACGTGTTCTATGGAAATGTTTGGATTTTCCAGCAGGACAACGACCCAAAACATCGTTCAAAGCATTCACAGGCCTGGTTTCGGACCCAAAATATGACATTATTAGATTGGCCAAACTATAGCCCTGACCTAAATCCAATAGAAAATGTTTGGGGACTTATGAAGGAAAGTGTTAATAAGAAAACTCTGACAAATATTGCTGAAATGAAAGAAGAGGTGGTCCGATATTGGGACAGCAAGGACCACGACTTTCTAACTTCTTTGATCAGTAGTATGCCCCGCCGCATTGAAGCCTGCATTGCTGCCCATAGTGACTTGACAAAATACTAACTGTTCACCTGTCTTTGAATCTGGAGTTATGTTCTGGTAATATTCACATTGAATACGTGAGTAATGAGTGAATTTTTTTTTAAAAATTACAATCTTAAATTCTCAATAATTTCTGGTTGTACTGTATCTTTGGTGTGGCTTATAGGCTAGACATAGTAAGTCGGGTGCTACAACAACATTGCTTTTTGGAAATGTGAATTTCATCTTTCACATTTTGACCCGTGAAGATCCGGGTTAGAATTGATCTTCAGTAGCCCATGCTTGTCGTAAAAGGCGACTAACGCGATCGGTTGTCAGGCTCGCTGACTTGGTTGACACATGTCATCGTATCCCAATTGCGTAGATCGATGCTTATGCTGTTGATAATTGGATTGTCTGGTCCAGACTCGATTATTTACAGACCGCCGCCATATAAACTGACGTAGAAAAGAAAGTACACACATGGTGTTTTTGCATTATTTGAAAAGTGTTGTGATTTTGACTGGCGACTTCGCAATTGGGCACGATATCTGTGGTGTTTTGGCAACATATTAGGAAAGTCTGTGACTTATATATCACTGTAAAAACTCTTTTCAAAACATTTACGTCGCTCTTTGGAAAGTAATCTAAAAGCACCAGGTGTGTACTTTCTTTTGTACGTCAGTTTAGTTGGAACATTGTGGCGGCCTAAAACGGCGCACAACTAAACTCACTCACTCTCTCTCTCACAGTTTGTCTTGTCTTGATCTTAAGTTTGCCAGGAGACTGTACAATGTTGTCTTTATCAGTTGTCACTAAAGAGCCACTGATGTGCCCGCGGGTGGGTTTCACGTGTTAGATGCACTCAGATGTGTGTTGAAGGTTGAAAGTTTGTGTGATGACAAAACAAATGGAAGTCAGGCCCCGGGATCACGAAAGTGTCTTAAGTTTGAAAAATGCTTAGCACGAAATTTGTCTTAAGTTTGGTTGATTTTGCTTAGCTAAGACTTGGGCTAAGACTAGATCATGAAACGGTCTTAGCAAAATCTTAAGTGAGACTAAGCTTCATGACAAAATGTGAAAGAGAGTGAGTGAGTTTACTTTTATGCCGTTTTACGCCGCCGCAATATTCCATTCATATGGCGGCAGTCTGAAAATAATCGAGTCTGGACATTGTTAGAGGTTACATCATCCACTGACTGACCTAAGCCGATGCGTGTCTCGGAACTGAGCTGCAGTTATATGTACAAAACCATATTTTTCGTCGTTTGTTTGTTGTTTTACGCCGCACTCAGCAATATTCCAGCAATATGACAGCTGCCTGTAAATAATGGAGTATGGACCAGACAATCCAGTGATCAACAGCATGAGCATCGATCTACGCAACTGGGATATGGTGACGTGTCAACTACGTCAGTGAGCCTGACCACCTGATCCCGTTAGTCGCCTCTTACGACAAGCATGGGTTGATGAAATTCACATTTGCCAAAAAAACAATGGATATGGTTGAAACCAATCAACCATCATTATAGCGAATATGCGATTCGAAAACATGACCATAGGTTTCATACACGCCTTGAGGTGCGTTCTCACGGTGCGACTTCTAGTAACAACTTGTGGCATGCAACACGGTTGCAACGTCAGAACACCCTGATTATAATGATTTTAAATCGCATACAACTAGTCGCAGCCGAGTTGTAAGACATAAGACTAATTCCTACTCGCGGACTCTCGATCAGTCAAATTGCTGAGATCTGTGTCCACCTCAGATGTCGGGTGACGTCGCGTTGTTTGTGTTGAACAACGGGGGGCGGGGACATGACTGACGGAGTGCGATAAACGTCATGTTTCCAGAGAAACAACTGAACGGCGTTTCGTTTGATAATCCAGGTGAGAACCTACACCGATTAAGGTTCTCTTTTATTTATAATTTGTTTGCGTTTGAATGCGTGCTTGCGTGCATGCGCATATATACTGACATTAAACACTAGCGTCTCTCCTGAACTTAACGAATCCTTGTTGCCGAGTCATGCGTGAAAATCTCACGAGATACGAGTTGTATGGGACTTAAAAAGAACACAAAATCCGAATTCATTACGATCAGATTCTTTACTGTCCCTACAAATCGTCTGCTACGGGTTGTTAAAACACGTTTCACCTTAACGCAACTTAACGGAAGCAACTCGGCGTAAGCGACGGGACCCGCAGGCAACTGGCCCACCCCTGGAAATTTCAACGTAAATCGAATGAGTATGTCGACTAATTGGGTTCGACAATTGCTCAGAACATTCCCTATACGATCAATATCACACTGCAACGCCAACCTGTACATATAGACATTAATTCCAGTTCCAATATACACAGATCAAATTCTCAGCAAAATGAAAACACCATCAATCTCATGTGTGTGCTGTAACTTTGGCCTAGACTTTAGTGTACGTGTGTTGTACCAGAATCCCTCTCCAAGGAATAATACCTAATGAATAATGCAAACAGTAAGCAGAGATCTAAGCATTTCTTTAGTGGACGGCAAAGATTGTCAGCTGGCGCTTGGTGAGATGGCATCGATTCGGATGCGCTAGCAGGTCATTACCCGTCTATCAACAGATGGTGCCATTGTGGTACCATTTTCCCTTAAAGATTTTTTTTTTTTTCAGAAACCGATATGTTAATTTTTAACATAGAAATGAAAAATTGTTAATTTTAAACATTGCCAGAAACATAATATTACCAAAGATGAGTATGGTTTTACGCCTGTTTTGGCAAACTTCAGTTGTATCCGGCGCGGGACAACATGGTACTACAACCCTATGGGCCTTTCCACTATATTCTGACTAGTGGTGGTCCGATTGATTGAAATAATCGAAGATTGGTCACAGTATCTAAACGACCAAGCAATCGATCATGTTTTCTCATAATCGAACACAAGCAATTCTGGAACACTTGTTTTCATAAACAATATTTTTCACAAGGTTGGTTTTGTCTGTTACATTTCATAAGCACTACAAGCTCGTTTCAAATCATGATTGAATATATTTTAAAGACTCCAAGAAATTTATGTTCCTGACATACTAGTCATCCTTTAAAGATGTGAAATTTTGCCA